AATTCCTCATTTGATATATTAATCTTACTCGAATTAGCTAATTGAGTATTAATATATATATATCTCGTGTGTATAAGTCAAAGACATATCCAAAATTTATATAATGATTTAGATTTGCTGATTAGATATGTTAATTTTTAAATTACATCGACAAAAACTATTTATTAGCTTGTGATAATAAAATATAACATACAGCTGATAGGTGAATGAGTGGGTAAGAGAAGTACCTAAAAAAAGATTTCATATATAATCGCCATATCTACCATTTTTTAGCCAATTAAGAAATGAAGAAGGAAGCATATTGAATATTACAAGAATACTGATAATATTTTTCAAAATAATATAAAGCATGCTTTATTTATGTTTCCTAAAGATATTTTTAATCATAGTCAAACATCTTTTTTATTAAAAGTCTGAAATTAGAGAATACACATTCCTTTTTGTAATTTAATATTATTATTTAGGATATTTCAAACCCTTCTTTTTTCTTTTAAGGAAATACATAATACCTCTGAAAAAGTGATCTGCATAACATTTAAAGTCCTAAGGAGAATTAGGATTATTATCAACTTCTCTTTAATGTTTCTAGAAGTGATATCTTTACCTTTAATCAATAAATAAACCTATACAAGAATTGGCTGAGAGGAGAGAAATTTCTTATTTTCGAAACTTTTTTTAAATCTAAGTAAATCAGAAATTTGAGAAAATAAACCGAAGAAAAATTTTAACAAACCAATATTGTTCTCTTTTGGTATTCAAATGTAAATACCCGAAATTATTTTGTTGGCCATTGATTCTGTCTTATAGAAACTTTACAAGAATATCTTGATTTAGATAAATTTTGTTAAAACATTGAATTAAATTTATAAAAAATTTCTAAAATTATTATTAATCTTTTCCTAAAATTATATTGATTTTTATTATATAGGCATTAATATTGGCCTATAAAAATAAAAGGAATTTGTATGAATTTTAAAAATTAATTGTGTTGATAAAGGATGAGAATGAGCATTTTTGAGATCTATTATCATAACTATACCCTAAAATAACATTAAATATTGAAGCGATTTATGAGGGACAGGATGAATCAAATTATAATTTTAAGCTATAAAAAATATCTGAAAAATATGAGTGTATATTAAGTACAATTATAAAAAGAACTAAATTAAATATCATCAATAAATTTACAATAATTATATGAAATAAGTTGTTGAATCCACTTGACAAAGAGTATTGATTATTTGTAGAATCAAATTAGTTAACAATATACATTTTTTCACAAAACTAAGACAGTTGGCTTTCAAAATAATATCATGGAATATACTTTATTTTAAAATTACTTTTTTTAAGGATATTATAGAGCAATATTGAATTTGCAAATTTATTATTTTTGTTGGTAACTCCTTATGATATTATTTATAACTTCATTTCCATTTATTTAACTATTATATATCATCATCTTAAAGGAATCTCATCAAAAAATCAGAATTTTAAGTTAAAGTTAATTGGAATTATTATTGATAAAAATGAACAATATAAAAAACATTATTAAACCAATTTCAGATAAAAAGTATTTACTTTACGAAAAATTTAAATAAATTCAATAATAAAGAAGAATTCATAATCTTTAAATAGATAAACCATGAAGATCCAATATAAAATTGTTATTGAATATTAAATTTATAAAAATATATTTAAAATAGACAACAAATACATTTAATACAATTGCTGATTGAAGATTTAAGTTCTATTATAAAATGGAATAAGTAAAAAAATGAGATAAAAATTAAGAAAGTGCTAAGAATTTAAATTATTAACAAATAAATGAGTCTAGTTTTGGGATTTTGAGTCCTTTATTTTAAGAAAGTAAATCATTAAGAAGATTTTCTATTTCTTATTAAGAAACCTTAAATTAATAATAAGATGTTGTAATTTGGAAAAATAAAAATTGACATTATAATTTAATAAAAATATAAAGATTAGATTAATTAAACATTAATAAGTATAATTAGTCCTTTGGTAGTAATTTCCATAATAATGAATGGAAATTTTGGATTAACTAAAAAGTGAATAAGTTAAATTACCTCCCTATAGTAATAAACAAAAATTACATTAGAAGTAAAGGATTTGATAATAAGATTGTCGATATTATAGGATTTGGTAATCTAAAATATTAAATATCATCAGGAAATAATTTTTAGGAAGATAAATAAATAAATTTTAAATTTGAGAATGTAGGTAGA